AAAAACTTTAATATAAGTTTAACATAACAGCAAATGTACAACGTTTCGACAAGGTTTTGCCATCATCAAGTACATTGTTGAAACGTTGTACATTTGCTGTTATGTTAAACTTATATTAAAGTTTTTCTTCATTACCCATTCAAGCCGTCTCCAATCATTATTAATATCTCACGGGGTTTGACCAGCTGAGGAGATTTAAGTTAGTTCTAAATCCATATATATTAAGCTTATAATGCAAAAAAAAAAATATCCCTATGATTAAAACATAATAATAAAAATTAAAATAATAAAATTAGACCGTCACAAATTCTAACTAATACACTCAATGAAAGTAACAATAAACCCTCAATAGCTGCAGCACTTGAAATTTTTGTAGGCAGGATTAGAGTAATCTATGAGACCTTGGGTGTGGTCAAATACATGAATCGAAAGGGTTTGACCTCCTGAGCCCAAAACTGTAACTAGATCTCATATCGGCCAAGAAATGACGGATCTATGAGCTAAAAGTTTGTACCTGAAAAACTCGGAGCCATTCTATGAGCCGTTATGCCACAACGAAAAAAGTAATAGAACACACCTTACTCACGGAACACGTAAACACTAACTGTCGTAGATGTAATGACCTTTGGAATGTATTTAAAAATACAAAGATCTACAAGAAGGAATGACCCCCAGTGGACGAATAATATTAATTAAATATCCGAGAAATGAACAATAACTAGATATTAATAATACACATTTATATTTTGGGGTATTTGTGCCTAATGGCTACTAGGGTTTATGTTGTACATACATTGTAGTATTCCTAAGGACCATGATAACAGAGGTCTCCCACTCTTCAGTTAAAAATTCATGGATGTAACGGAAAGTTATTTTAGAGTTACACAAAATGTTTTTGGGCCAAATTATAAATATAGCACTATAATACACGTTCTTCTATACCTACTGTGTCATCCAATTATATAAAAAAAAAGTTTTAAAAATGACAATAAAAGGGTTGGGGGTGAACAGTGTACAGTTTGCGTACGTATGTTCACGAGTCGCCCTGCAGGAAATACTGAAAAATGCAACATTTTCCCAGAAATTCGTCTCCTGCTAATAAAGGTAAGATATTCGGGAGTTTTACAATCATTGTTGTGTTTGATGATCAGCAGAATAAAATTGTTTATAATAATTTACGTCATCCGCTCATAATGTCTTAATCTAATTATTCGGATAATTCACTGGTATTCAAAGGTTAACTGACCTGATGTGAACGCAATGATAACAGTGAATTTATTAAAATACAAATCTTTGTACAAAAACGAGCGATATCGGGAGTTAAAAATATAAACGCCACTTTACTTGGAAGCGGCTTGAAACCAAAAACCGCGATAAGAATATTAATAATTATCTATAAATATGTTGTCATAGTGAGGAGCCATTTTGGTGTCCATTGTGGTACCATTAATCTGAAAGTAATTTCTGAGATTCGAGTGAATTGAAAACATTTAGGAAAGGTTAAAATTTTTTAAGTCCTTTATCATGTGAAATATTAGTGTAAAGTTATTCTAAGATGGGTTCTAGTGTTAACACTTATGTTGTGCTTAGCCTTTTAAAAAATTAACAGATTTTAACTACCAAGAAACAATTTTAGCTTTCACTTTCTTTTTTTTTCTTGTTGACCCCCAGTGGCACAGCGGTATGTCTGCGGACTTACAACCCTAGAAACCGGGTTTCGATACCCGCGGTGGGAAGAGCACAGATAGCCCATTGTGTAGCTTTGTGTATAACTTAAAACAAACAAACATTTTTGTATGTGAACTAATTCTGAAATTTATTATTACATTTATAAAAACTATACGATTCTATGTTAGAGTTTCATAAAATAAGTACCAAATATTAACGTTAGTTGATGGACAAATAAACAATACGCTTTGAACAATGACCGAATAATAATCAAAACTTAATTATTAGCCTAGTTAAATGTAATTATCCTCACCTGAGGCAAAAGTCGGTCTACATGCTCCAAAGCCGATGTACACTAAGAAATGGAGTTACTAACAATACATCTTCCAACTTTTCGATACTATGAAACAACTACCTGTTTGCTCCACTATTTGAGATGACATAATATAATTATGTTTATGGTGATGAGTAGGCACGTTCAGCTTTGTATCTTCTATACGCTAAGTCTTTATAACTATCTCACTGAGAATAAATCGTCTTGACACTCTGATTGGATAGTTCCTATGTGCTCTCTGCGTTGTCTGATTAGAGAAGAAAACGTTTTCACTCACAGGAAGTAAGACATACTTTTACATCTTAACCATCTATAAAACCTCCGTGTCTGCGAGGCTTAGCCGAGGAGGCTAGTAAACATAATTCCTCTTTAATTTCTATGTAAACGTGTTTAACAAAACGAGACAAACTTTAGTACTAAGCAGACTACAGAGAGTTCTTCGAACTTGCCTAACGCTGGGTGTCTCAGTTTAATAGGAAGTTTACGTCCTTCCTTTTTAGTCAGCCGGGAAAAAAGCTTCCTCCGTCTTTAAGAAATCATGAGCTTTGTTGTAAATTAGAAATCGCTCAAGCATTCTGCATACAATCTGGGGTTGGGTGTTCAAAAACTGGCTAGTAATTTATTAGTGCACCATAAATACGTGGGTCTGTTCTTACACGGACGTAAGCAATACGAAATTGCACAGGCTTACGTGAATAAAGAAACATTTACGTGTTACTAGAGTAGTGACATAGGACTTACATGCACTGGAGTAAAATCATTGGCATACCTGTCTTGCTACACGATAGGAACTACCCTAAAGAATTCATTACCGCTTACCTAAAGTATCGTACAGATAACAGCTCCTCTAGTGACCAATGCACTACAATTTCATAATTAGAAAACGCCGAGTGAAATTTTCAGGACAAAAGAGGTATGGCGGGCATTATGAAACCAAACGTTAGATGTGATGGTTTGAGATATCCTCGAGATTTAAATACATTAAACAGATTAGAACACTACCTGGATCTCCAAACTGCACACAGAGGATTGTCTCCAAACGTGGTTGTAGGTAATTGAAAGAAATGTATATATATATATATAGTTCGTCCCTTCCCCAAGTCTACGTAGTTACTAAAATTGGAGGCGGCTATTCACAGATAAGACTAACCCTTGTGTATCCTACGTTAAATTATGGTCACATTCCACCGCTCTGGTTATTTGTTATTTCAGCATATTCACTCCCGAGAGGAATTCTAGTTACTT